TGACATTCGCCACCCAAGTTGTCCATTACAAGGAATGTTAGATCTGTACTCACTGCCAGCCATAAGAGAATGCATCCAATTCATAATTAGGCACTGAAAATAAACACAGCTTTTCATAGGCTAAACAGCATCATAAGAAAAATCTGAAAGAGCTGTAGTCCCAGCTTGAAATTCCCTCTTTAATGGCATCTCACCATACTTGGGTTTAATGCATATACAGCAATGCATTCTATTTTTTTTCATCCAGACACATGAGAGAAAGATTATTGTAATGCTTTGTTTATTCACTGAAATCAAGTATATTCTAACTATTGAAATGCTTTGGGCACAATACCTGTAGGGTGTTTCCACTCATTACTAGATGGACATCAATTTGCCTTACTCATCCCAAACATGGAGGAACCAAGTATCTGCACTGTGATCTCCCCACCTGATCCTTGAAGGGTTGCTCCAGGGCTGCCTCACTCTGAATCCTCTTTCCCAACCACTTCACACTGGGTGGGTTCACACAGCGATCTGCTCTGCAAGACGAGCCACTGCATGTGGCTTTCTGGCCCAGTGAGGGCCTATGATATGCCCAACAGATGATCAGATGCATCCTGGCTGTGAAGCCACTTCTATCTCCACCTTTCCACAGATATCCCAGGAGATGGCGCAGAAAGATTTTATTTATTTATGACATTTGTATTCTGTCCTTTGTGAGAGCCTCAGGATAGCTTACACAAATAAAATTCCAAAATATATAACAATATAATATTATAAATAACATAAAACATTCTACAACATATCCTCTCTTAATAAAAATAAAAAATAAAAATGCAACTGTATACAAATCAACAGTATTAATAAAATAGTATTAGTTGCTAAAATGAAGGTTAAATAAAAAGGTCTTTACCTGGCACCAAAAAGAGCAGAGGGTTGGCACCAGGCGGACCTCTCTGGGGAGCATGTTCTATAGTCTGGGTGCCACCGCAGAAGCATCAAGTCTGGATGCCACTGGGTGCAGAAGCATCAAGGTTCCCCTCCTCTCTGCTTTACAGCAGGGCCAGCAGGAGGGAAGCATGCATCTCATTAGCCTGCTCATGAACAGGCTGAAGGGATGGGGGATGCCCACCAATGTACCAGGAGTGGTGGCAGGAGCCCCTTTTCCAGTGTTCTGCACACTCCCCTCCCTCTGCCCTCACTGTGGCGCACAACTTTGCCAGCTGGAATGTGTGTGATGCTCCTGCCCAGGATGGCTGTGCGAGCTCAGTGATCAGAAAAAGGAGCTTGACGGAGAGAATTCTGAATGAATGGACTTGCTTGCAAGCCAGCCTGCCTTCCCAGAATGCACAGGAGCTTGGGGCTCCACTACCAGTGTCTGGCATGCGCTGACCCTTCAAGCCCCACTTGACGCTTGTGGGGGGCAGACAGCAGACACCTGCAGTGCTCCTGCATGCCATCTTCCCAAGCCCCAAATGTCATGCTGCACATAGAAGCAGAAATGCCAATGACGGCCACCCCTCAGTTCCACTTGGGCACATTCACCTTTACCTTGAACCAAAGACAGACAAGGTATTACTCATTAAGATACAGTATCACACACACAAATAAAAAATACATTATTTTCCAGTCCCCTGAATGCAGTGGGCACGTATCTGGAAAGTATCTGGAAAAGGCATATTGAAATATGAGAAAATAAGATTAATTGAGAAGCTTGTGGACCCAGTTTTCCACCTCTTCCAACATGCCCAACTCAGTCTCAGTGAACTCATAGCTGAACAGATTAAAATGGCTCTAATTGTGACCTCTAGTGGACATAAAGCAACGAGGCACCTAAGGCCTGCTCTCGGAATTCTTTCCGGAAGGGGATGTTTGATAGGCACCGTGCACTCCTCTCGATCCAGATCTGTGCTTGTTGCACAGAGTGCTGTAGATGAGATGAGCTGTCCTTGGCACAGAGAGGAAAAACCGTGTCTTACGAAGTGATTCAATTAACGGATTCTGCTTTTGTTTACCAAAGCACAGGAAAATATTTTTAGGGCTATGTCTGAGGGCAAGTGTTGTAGCGACCTTGATGAAGCTATGCCCTAGTACTGCCTGGATGAGATCCCATACTTTTGGACCCTTGAGTTCTAAGCTAATCAATAAATTCTTCCAAGTCATTGGAGAGAACTTTCCATGACACGCAGGTATATTTGTCCCACTTCACCTCAAAGCCTGGGCCCCAGAGGAAGACCACAGATCATGCTTTGCATACAAAAGCCTCTTGTTCAGTCCCTGGCATCTCCAGGTAGGCCTGGGACAGCCTCCCCCCCCCCCCCCCCCCGAAACCCTGGAAAGCTACTGCTAATCAGTGTAGCAGCTATAATGTACTGGACAGACCAGCGGTCTGAGTTCAGCTTCCTGTAATAGCTTTGGGAAGCAATGCCAAAAAAAAAAAAAAGTCATTTGGCAAATGACCCATATGGATGAGTGTACATAACAGAAAAAGTGGTCCTTTTTTTCAAACAACCTTCAGGGCTCTGAAAAATACTACAGTCTCTCTCAAGGCCAAGCTGAACTAGGTTTTCATTCTTTCTGTCTGTCCATTATTTTTTTTAGTAACATTTTGGAATCTGATTCTGATTCAAATGCAGTAGCATGCACTTTCTAATTCCTTTGCTCCTGAAACCCTTATTTCTTTAAACTCTCTCTCTCTCTAAAGGAATGTTTTGCTTTTCTACATATGTGATGTGTTTTCAGAAGTAGTCTGATGAGCCCAAAAGGCATAAGCAGCACAGTGAAATAATATATATAAACAGTCAACAGAGAGTCATATAAATTATTTATATGTTTTATTTCTCCTGTTATCCATTTGTACTATGAATAGATAGAAATCACCATCAGTTTCAAAGAGTTAACTCTCCAGTTAAGATGCCAAAGTTACAGCCAGTGTAAAGTCACTGAAAGTCTCAGTGGAATACTTTGTTTTATTACATTTTTATTGTACCTTTTCTTCCAAGATACTCAATTCCCACCTCTTTTATCCTCACAACAGTCCTGTGATGTAGATTAGGCTGAGAATCAGTGTCTATCCATAGTCACCTAGTAAGACAAGCAGGAATTTGAATGCAACCCATGTCACACTGGCTCTCAGAAATGGGGTTCATATTCAGTTGACTAGTTTTCTGCCCATGAAACAGCAGCATACTAGGAGGAAAAAACAACACACCTTAACAAAGAAACCTCAGGCCACATCACATGTTATTCACTGCATCCTTTACAGCATGCAATGCTATAAAAGGGTAAGTTGATGGTGTAGATCAGATAGACAAGGAAAAGACTATAAATATAAAGGCAAGGTACAAAGAACTTTATTATCTTCTCACTGCATGTATTTCTAATATTAGATACTGTCTGCTCTCTAAGAGTTTTTTCCCCCAGGAGCATATTAAAAGGAAAGCAATTTTTATTAAAAAAAAAGATTGCATATCAAATATAAAGGGAAAGGGAAATGTATATGTAAAGGGAAAGAATTGAGAGACCCAGTTTCCATTTGGTTGCATACAACTGTTTACCCAATGTGAATATGAAAACACAATGTGTACACAATGCCATCTGATTCCCAGATGCGTTAAACAAGCAGGAGGAAAGGTAGTGATCAAATGTTTCTGCTTCAGAAGCTTTTAAAGCATGTCCTAGATGAACGTCTAGGTGCTGTCAATTTTTAGAACTGCATCTTCTCAATCTTACCGTGCAAGAAAATAAAGGTTTTCTTTAACATTCTCCTCCCTTCCTCCGCGACTAGCTGTGCACAGAATCTGACCAGTTCGGTGCCATTTTCTCTGCAAGAATCACCGGCTACACACGTGTTCAAAGTATCTGGAATTGCACGATCAGCCCTGTCGCGGGCAGAAAGGAGAAAAGGCGGGAGGGGGAGGAGGAAGTAACAGTAAGCCTGGAATCGCCAAGCCATTAAAAGCGGCAGAAGCGCGCTAACAAACCTACACCGCAGGCGTGCCGGCATAAGTGTTTTCCCCAGCGTTCAGGCTGCTGCTTTCCCTGACATCCCGCCCCCGGGAGGGGTGTTAGGGCGAGAAACTTCGCAGTCCATTAGAATGAAACGTTAGATGAATGGCATATTGAAGGGGAAATGGGGAGAGAGAGAGAAACACACTGTGTGGCACAGAGGCTGCCATCTCGGGGATACCCTTAAAGTGGCGGCGCCCGCCTTCCCGCCCCTCGGCCAGGCGCTGGATTCGTCGCAGGCTGGAAGCTCGGAGCCATCCGCTCAGGTGCTCGCGGCTTCCTCCCCGCACAGCCGGGAAGCGACTGGCAGCTCCGCTCGCTCCGCGCTCCGGAGGGGAGGGAAGGGAGGAGGCGTGTCCCTTCCCCGCCGCCTCTGCCCTCGCTGCTCGCGCCGCCGAGTCTCAGCCTCCCTCCGTGCCAGGAGCCAGAGGCGCGGGGCACCGGGGGCGACGCGACGCCTCGAGGGCTGCGCGCCAAGCGGGCGACCCGCCTCGGGGAAACTTGCTGGGACTTCCTGCTCGCCTCCCCGAACCATGCCCTGCGCGCCCGCCCCTGATTTTCTGCTCGGCGCTGCCGGCAACTGGAGCGGCGGCGGCGGTGGCAGGAGCGCTTCTCCACAGCCAGCCCCGGGCGCCGCGCGCGTCCGGCGCAGCTACGCACCCGCCGCTGCCCCTCGCTGAAGCCGCCGCACGCCGCCCTGGGACGCCCGGCGCCTTTTTCCTCTTCCGCGGGGCGCACGCCGCTCGCTTCGCCGCCCGGCGGGACGCGCCCTCGGCGCCGCGGGGAGCCGCCGTCATTGCCTAGGAGGGGCCAAGCGGGCGGGAAGCCTCCGGCTAAAAGAGGAGCCCCGAAGGCGCCGCTTTCTGCCCGCCCGAGGAGGAGCCCGAGGGAGGGCTGCCGCCCCCCGCCCTTCCCGACCCCGCACCTCGGGAGGGGTGCTGGGGGCAGCCAGAGCCGCCGTCCCCGCGCGCCCCCTTCTCCCGCTCCCCTCCGCGTCCTCCCCCCAAGCCATGAACTTTGCTCGGGGGGGCCCGCAGGTGGTGGTGTTGAACGTGGGGGGCACCCGCTACTCCTTCTCGCGGGAGGTGCTGAAGGACTTTCCCCTGCGCCGAGTGAGCCGCTTGCACGGCTGCCTGTCGGAGCAGGACGTGCTGGAGGTGTGCGACGACTACGACCGCGAGCGCAACGAGTACTTCTTCGACCGGCACGCGGAGGCCTTCGGCTTCATCATGCTCTATGTGCGCTACGGCCACCTGCGCTTCGTGCCGCACATGTGCGAGCTCTCCTTCTACAACGAGATGATCTACTGGGGCCTGGAGTGCTCGCACCTCGACTACTGCTGCCAGCGCCGCCTGGACGACCGCATGTCTGACACCTACACTTTCTACTCGGCCGAAGACCTGCAGGCGGAGCCCGCGGAGGGCTGGAGCAGCAGCACCAGCAGCAGCAGCAAAAGCGGCGGGCGCCACCGGCACCCGAACGCGGGCGAGGACGACCCGGGCGCGAGCGGGGCAGCGCCCCCGCCTGGCAGCGGCGAAAAGAAGTGGCTGGAGAGGATGCGGAGGACTTTCGAGGAGCCCACCTCCTCCGTGGCCGCCCAGATCCTGGCCACCGTCTCCATCCTCTTCGTCATCGTCTCCATGGTGGTGCTGTGCGCCAGCACCATGCCCGAGTGGCGGGCCGCGGAGAACCGAAGCATGGAGGAGCAGAGCAGGTACACAACAGACTCAATCAGGGAGCCTTCAGGGTAGGAGGAAACGATTACTCTTTTCCCCTCGACACTGTCCCGTGCAAGTGTGTCAGTCCAGTCTCAGTCTGTCTCCTCCTCCTCTTCCTCCTCCTCTGCGGCTCCTTTCTCTGTCATCACCACTTGGTTGCCCTCTTGTGCCAGTTTCTTTGGGATTTGGCCACCATTGAGGCACCGGCCTACTTGGCAGAAGGTGACAGGGGCCAAGTGGGCACGATGCTACGGCAGGGCTTGGCCAGAAAAGTGTGCGCCTCACTTAAGGCGAGGCCAAATCTTTTTTCAATGCCTAGATAATCGATGTGCTCCTGCATTAGGAGCTTGCATTCGCATTTCAGATTCCAGCCTTAGGCAGTTTCCAGTTGGGGAGGGGGAGTCACAACCACAAAGTGTCAGAATAACTGGTGTCCAACTTTATAGCTGCCAGAACAACCCGAATGGTCGGGATTCCCTTTCTCTTCCAAAGCCTTGATTATGTCTGCCCTCCTGTGCACACTATTCTGGCAGGGAGCCTAAAGATACAAAGGCTTGTGCGGGAAATGGAAAAATTCAGGACGAAAACCATTCTCACTGAAAACATTTTCACCCTAAAAGCCCTCGAAAAACATTCTTTTCCCAACACCCCTGTTTTTATTTTTTGCTTCCCCCCCCCCACCTCAACCAGCCTTTATATCTCTACATAAACGTCACAGAAATTAGTGGGGCTTATTTCTGAACAACATGCATAGGTTAGCATTGTGAGGCTCTGGCATCTTCACGTCTAAAATACACAGGAGCTTTGCAGTTTGATGCAAACCTCCTTGCATCTTAGAAAAATGATAGAAAACTAGTTTACATAAACCTGCTGTTACAGTTCTTCAGTAAGAAGCAGCAGTTTGGTGTCACAGAAGTATAAGCTGTCCCTTTTCATGGCTTTTAATCTTTCTTCCCTCCTCCTCCAGAAAAGGCTGGGTAAGCATCTTCTGGGGATGGTTTTGTTACTTTGAGCTCCCCTGAGCAGCCTGTAGCTCTTTCAAAGCTTACCACAGATGACTCAGTGAGGAAAGCAGCCATCACAGAGGTGGTTCCCCCCCCCCCCGTCTTCCTCTGCCATGTGCTGCACTGTTGCTTGTGCTCTGGGCTGCATGTTCAGGCCCGATGAGGCATACTGAGACCCAGTGCACAGCCAGTGCCTTGCACAAACCAAGTGTGTGGCCTGGCCTGGAATATACCCCAGGGTGTTCTGCAGATGTACCTGGGGATCTGGGGCAGCTGGAGATCTGGGGAGAGGGGAATCCACCAGCAGCTAAGTTGCTGTGGGCTTTCATGAAGGTAAAAGTTTGAAAGACTATGCTTGGGAAATAAAATTTCTTTCCAGAAATCTGGAAAGCAAGCAAGCCAGCCAGCCTGGTGTTAGTCTATGGCTGGCACTCTAGGGGAGCTGCGGAGACACCTGTGGCTGGCCAGTCCACTAGCACTGAATGCCACTCTGCACTCTCCTGTCCAGGCTACTGAGTCGTTTAAATTTCTAGAGCAGTGGTTCTCAGCATGGGCCATGCCCTATTTCTTGGGGGTTACGATAACCACCATATTACAAGGGGAGCAAAAAAACAATTCTGAGGGGGCTACTCGAATTTAATCGCCAGGCGTGTGCTCAGTTTGTCATAATCCTCACATCTCAATCTCTGTGCTAATTTCAGCTGCATAAATATTGAAAATTACTACAGTTTGTAATATCTTAATGAAAAGGCACTCCATAATAAATGAAACCATATTATACAATTTAGCTTAATATGCAGTGCAGATGGTAAAATACCTTTTTCCCAGCTAACAGTGACTATGAAGATGGTCACAGAGTTATTTGAGGCTCAGACAGGGCCATGAGCAAGAAAAGGCTGAGAAGCTAGAGGGATGCTCTGTCAGGCACACCAGAGTATTGTTGGAAATTTCAGTGGGGGTTTCTAGTTTCCCTCAGGTTAGCAGGGCGCCCCCTGATTGCTCTTCATCCAGGAACCCCTCAGTCCTTGGCTCCTTCATGGTCTAGAATAAAATGATTCATTAAGCATCTTTAAAAATCAGGTTCATCCTGATTCATTGTAGAGATCTGTCCTGTACCTTTCTGTCACTAGATGCAGCTTTCTCCCTCTTTCTGCCTGTCTTGATGGCTATTTTTTCTCCTCCACCTGGTCTCCTGTTTGTGGCATCAGTTGGGAGGGGAGCAAAAAACAAGAACAAAGAAGGAAAAGCCACACTCAACTTATCTTCCATCTTGGAAGACACTTAGCAGATATCTGAGTTGCCACCTGGCAGCCTCACTGTAAGCCTTGTGGTTGTGATCTACTTGAAAGACGTCTTCCTGCATCAAGCATCCTTTCCAAGCAATCCCTGCTCTTTTGAAACAAGATATTACATATTTAAAGCTTCTCTGATTGCTTGGTGTTTTTATTAAAAGCTGCAAAGAAGAGGATTGGTTTGATAAGACTTTGACCCCACACAATACCTAAAAGCAGGAATTTCATTTATAGTAGAACAGCTTTTGATGGCTTTGGCCTATTTAATAAGAAATCTGAGATTTCTTTTATGGATACTCTGCTCTGATGGTGTCAGAATATGTGGTATTTGGAGTGACACAAAATTCTTCATCTGGCTACTCTTTCCAGCAAAAGTTGGGCCAATAAAGTTATTATCTTAATTATTCTTGTACCCAAATGAGAAGAAAAACAATGCCAAATTGTTGTCTATCATTTCAGGAAACTGCTGTTATGTAGAAAATATGTACTCCCTTTGAGAAACCATATCACTAAAGCTTCTCTTACTTTTGAAATATCATTCCTGCGGTCATTGTTCAGGTCTTGCTTTCAAAGCTTTGTACAAGCAAGAGGCATGGATCCTTTGCCAAACCAGCGGCACCTTCTGCCTCTAAAGTGCTAGAAGCTCTATTGCTTATTTCCTTTTATTCTTCCTTCCCCAACCCCAACCCCCACAGTGGGATATCCATTGAAATATCTTAATAAAAGAAATGTCTTTCTTTTTAATAGTCCTCCCACATATCCTGATGCACTGTGATGAGAAAGTTCGGTATTTTAGAGGAAACTTTCTAAAGGAGGCCAGTTTTACCTGCTTACAAAAAAGAGGTATTTTGATGTGGATTTAGGGGTCAACTATGAAGTCCTATTCTAAGAGAATTGCTACAATCTGATTTTACTGTGGTCCCTTACATATACATTATTGGGAACCTGCATATTTTAGTCCCAGAAATAGACCTAGTTTGATATGTGATACTCTTTAAAGCAAAGAGTTTCATTCATTAATGGAATGAATGTGCAATATAATATAAGTGCTGCTACAAAACAGGGTATGTTTCAGATTAGGGAAAACATAATCTGTTAGTCTCATTACTGCATGATATCAATAGTATTCTAGTTACACCAACCCACAGGACTAACCACATACTTTTCTCTCACACACACACACACACACACACACACACCCATTGCCAGGCATATTTCTAGATTTGAACCAGATATCTGCTTAGGAAGAAAGATAATACTCTTTAAAACAAAATTGCAAGAGAAAATGAAATAGATGTCTGAAATAATGCAAGCAGCACATTTAGCCTAACAGTGTTTGAAAGACTTCCAGGTGACTTAACAAATACCAGCAAAATATCAGTATGTATTATGATGAAAACATAAAGTAATAAGATAAATTGATTATAAAATGTGGGTGACCTCAAATAATCCTTTAGCCTGGGCCTTGGTCCAGATTCTCTGCATGGGATCCTCAGCTGATGTCTTCTTAATGCTAGTTTTCATTACTGAGCCCAATGATGTCAGCCACATCTCTGATTTAAGTTGCACTTGAGGAAAAAACCATTTTTGCTAGTTCCTGTGACCCTATGGGTTACTCTAGTGCAGGAATACTCAGTGATTAGGGGCTTATAGGCCCACTCAGAAAATGATAGCAAAGTGGTATGCCTGATCATAAAACATTCATTTCCCAGAGGACAAACTGGTGGGACAATAAGAACACCCATTTGGCTAAGAACCCAAATGCAAGGCAAAGGTGGGCTTTGCCAAATTACACATTGGTGTCCCACAGAGCAGCACCAAATTCCACAGAAGGCAGAATGGTAATGCTCAGAGAGAGACGCGCCACACAGGGAAAACATCCTCCTTTAGCTCCCCAAGGGGCTTCCCACCATCCCCAGCTTGCTTTTACTTTTTTAAGGCATCTGGGCATTCTTCATTATTGAAAGTTGGACACTTAGGGCCAGTATTAAACACAATATTGAAAACTCAAAATATAGGGACAGTTCCAAGTTCAGTAGCATGGGTATACATTAAAATGCAGTGGTTAGTCACTTCTGCTAGTGTGAGACATGGGGGCACTAACTGTTTTGTTTCATAGCATGTGTGCCTGCCATAGAAACATGCTGTGGGAAGCCATGCATGTGTCCACTATATATATACAGTGAACAAAGACACACAGATGTGGCTCATAGAATCATAAAGTCAACTTAGTTAAGCTGATTGCTCTTGCGATTCAGTTCTAATGCAGAATTGGAATCAGTTGTTGTATTAGAAACCATTTCTGGCAGACATATAAATGCAACATTCATTAACATGAGAGTGTTTTAAAATTACCATCCCACCGTGCAACATGTTTTAGTGGAGCATTGTGTGTGCATCCCCTTCAGGATCAGACACATTCACCATACTCAAAGCAGAATGGATGAGCAGTACAAGCACATAAATGCACTGTGGTTTGTTGTACAGTATTTTCCTTCACAGCATGGTAATATTGCGAGCACTTAAAACCTTCCATGACTTGTTGCTGCAACCTCCCCCTCCCCACATGCCCACTTGGTTAATTTTTTGTTGTTATATGAGCTGTGGATAATCTTCTGCAACTGCCACTGGGTCATAACTGCTGATGAGCTGACTCCCTGAACCTTTTCTTGGCTTCTAAAGAATTATTCATTATTATAATCACTTTACAGGCAGTCCCCGAGTCACAAACAT